CACTGAGGGTTGCGATCCCGTTACCGGTCACGAAAAAAGACAAAAAAAGGAAAAAAAAAAAGAGAATAAGTGTAAAACTCTCATGTACTTCAGGCACTAAGCACTTTTTAGGCACATTTCCAGTGAGGTGTCACAACAAACCTCTGAGATAAGAACTGTTGTTACTTCCCCTTTACAGACCAAATAAATGAGGCTACCCCCAAAAGTGAAACTTACTTGGTTCTGAGGACCAGCATGGCACTGTCCCGCCGGTCCTGCCATAGGGCATGTAGAAAGGCAATGGCTGCATGATGCAGCAGGGGTGGGCACCAGTATCGATCTTGCTGTTGGGAATCAATCAACTCCAGCACTGCGTGGAGACAGCTCCATACCCCAAGGCTGAATTCCTGCAAGAGGGGACAGGAGTTCACTCCCACAGCCACTGTTAGCAGCTGCACCTGCAGAGCCCAGCACCCATTACCTAGGAAGCCATCTCCCAGCTTCACCCCAAGTGCAGACTCACCTTGGAGCCATCATTGCCATCCTTCACCTCCAGATTCAGAAACAGTTCGATGAGGCCTGGCTGGGTCTCCACTGCAACTGTGAGGAATTCCAGAATCATGACTTTGATGCGCATATCCTCAATCTTGCTTTGCAGTCGGGTCAGGAAGGCATCACGGATGGCAGCGGCATCATTGCCCAAACAAGCATACACCGACATTGGGGCCACCTGGTGGAGACCGGGACACACAGGCTTAGAGACCCACTTCCAGAAAAACCTCAATGGGTCACTGCAGAAAGGCACTGGAGAACTCCCAGAAAAAGGGCAGAAATGGAAGCACCTAGACATAAAGCTTTGAGCGAAAAGGGGCATCACCCCAAACAACACCATGAGATGCCCAAAACTTCACGGGAGAAATAGTAATCAACATAAAAAGACACTCAGCCTCTCTCATGGTTAAATAAATTCAAAATGAAAAATGAGACCACAATAAAACAAACTTTAAGAAGGAGAGAATAGACCTATAGTTATTAGAGGTAGGAAAGGTGTTAGGGAGTAACTGGGTAAGGGACACAATAATTACAATGTGTAATGATGAAAATGCTAATAATACTGAAAATGCTAACAATCACCACATGCTGTACACAAATACTGATAGTCAACTCTGTACACCATAAGTATGTATAATCAAAAACAAATAATTTCTTTTTAAAGTGAAAAATGAGATTTTTTTTTTGCCTATTAAATTGCAAAAAAAATTATTAAAAAATGGATAAAGCCATTGTGGGAAGGACGTAAAACTTGATGTTAGAAGTATAAACTATTACGGGGGGCTGGCCTGTTAGCTCAGTTGGTTAGAGCATGTGCTGATAATACCAAGGTCCA